CTTATATAAGTTTTCTTCATTACCCATTCAAGCCGTCTCCAACAATTCATTATTAGTCTCAAAGTGGGTTCCTCGTCATAGAAAAAGAATATTATTTAGTTCACCAAAATGAAATTTTTTATTATTATGTTCTTTAACAAAAATACAAACAAACTGAAGAAAAGAGAAGAACGTTAATGTCAAACGAATATGCATCCTCACTCATTCTGATTTTTTTGTGTGAAGTATACGTCTTTTAGTCTCAAAACTACTTGTTGTTGTCTTTCTTTTATGTATTGCGTTATGCATCTGTACGTGATGGAGAAAAATTGATATAATTTTCGAATTCAGCTTAGTATAAGAATTATTTCTAACGTTTTACACTATCCATTTATTTTGTTAGGCTTAGTATATGAATTATTTCTAACGTTTCACACTATCGATTTATTTTGTTAGGCCTAGTATAAGAATTATTTCTAACGTTTTACACTATCCATTTATTTTGTTAGGCTTAGTATATGAATTATTTCTAACGTTTTACACTATCGATTTATTTTGTTAGGCCTAGTATAAGAATTATTTATAACGTTTTACACTATCCATTTATTTTGTCGTCAAAATGTTGAAATGTTTTACAAAGTTGTTTCATAATCGTAATTGTCAAAACATTAAACAGGTATTTTTATAGTGTTTTAATCGTAGTCTATACTATTATAAGGTGAAAAGTATAAAGATATACACCTTGATTTATAATTTTCACAACATTCATCAAATTCTGACTTGATGTGGAGTTACTTCTATTAAAACAAGCACAAAAGCTATTATAATTTAGGCGAATAATTAGTCCTCAAACTGACATAAATGCGACTACATGCCTACGACGGTTTTAATGTCTTGACATTTTTACATGTTCTACAGTAATTCCTATACTCCTAACAAAATAAATGGATAGTGTAAAACGTTAGAAATAATTCATATACTAAGCCTAACAAAATAAATGGATAGTGTAAAACGTTAGAAATAATTCTATACTAGGCCTAACAAAATAAATCGATAGTGTAAAACGTTAGAAATAATTCATATACTAAGCCTAACAAAATAAATGGATAGTGTAAAACGTTAGAAATAATTATTATACTAGGCCTACTGAGATGATAATGAAATAAGTTTGAAATGATGGTAAAATCTTCATAAACAGCTATAAACAATACACATAATTAGTGTTTAAAGTAACTTTAATTTCTTGCTGGTACGGTAGGAGTGTTTACCCTCCCCACCACCCTCACATATTTTATGTAAATCAACACTATTAATTCATGCTGACCGTAGCTTCAACATTTGAATGTACATATTTTAATCCTAACTGCTACTACCGTTAATAAAAATAAAAAATAGTTCATTTAAGTTTGATTTGAAAACATTTTAGGTTGGAATGGACTCAGAAATAGAACCTAAATCACGTGTATTCGTCCCATCTGATTGGGAGTAGAGCCTGAAGCGCTGTATATATTTACAACAACCTTCCCAAAAACCAATGTTTATGAAGATAGAAAACAATTAATACAAAATGAAATAATACCTGAACTGACCATAATAATATAACAATGTTAAGTGTAATAACAATGAAACTGTACACTGAACTTAATATTTAGTGGGTGTAAAAAATTTTCCCACTAGCCTTATTTAAATACTCCCTCTAGCAAATACATATAGCTAGCTAGAGGAAGTAATAAGTAACGTTAAATATGTAGTAAAAGCCGAAAAGGAAACACAATAAGCCTCTAGAAAGACGAAAGTTCTATGAAAATAACAAATACGAGAGGCGTTAACAGGACAAAGAAATTAATAATAAAAACTATGTTTCTAAAATAATAAATAAACCTAAATAATGAGACTGGGATAAGTTTAAAATTGATATTCAAATCTTCAGAAACAGTTGTAGACATATATGTTGAGAGTGACGTTAACCAATGTGCCATAGGAGTCGATGAACAAATTGGTAAATGACATCAGGCCTACTTTTCAAGCTGTGACGCAAGCGTTCGCGCCTCTTGTCTGCCTGATAGCTCATGAACAGAAACAGATAACAACTTCTTCAAGTTGACAGTGTTCCTTGGGGTGCTTTATTCATCAAATATTACCCCCTTTTATGTACACTTATAATACAGAAACTTATTTGTTTGGAATAGAAACCATGAAAAATAACAGTCAAAGGTGGGATTGTTTCCATAATAACTCTAAGTACAACCGGTAGAGAGCGTGCTAGAGAAGCATTTCTCACAAAGGTAGAGAATATCACGATAGGAAATGCCATAAAAGGTCTGAAGCAGCACGTTTTACAACAATCATTTGATTGTTTATAATTTGATGTAAAGTGAGCTAACTGTATGGATCATAACCAAGACAATGTACCTTTATGATGAATGAAGCCATATTACAACAAATTAACTAGGAGTACATAATGTCATAAAACAACACAAAAGAACATAAAAAAATATAACGATAATAACGTATTGAATCATTAGTTGGAACCCTTCCCTCCCATTCGCTGTCAACGACATTTTCGGTCGTAATTCCAAAATCATCTTATTAGCTTTGTGTTAATCTTAGATCTGTATTTACTAAGGTAAAACTGCAAAATAATGACAATTAAAAAAAAATAATTATTAACAAATATAATAACCAACAATATTACGAAGAAAAATGGGGTAGATCATTACTTACAAAACACCAGGAATTTTGCAAAACATTTGGACAAAGCATTCGTGTCTTTACGGAGATATATATTATGGACGGTACAAGAATCGGAAGTCCTGAGATTGTCAAGTTGGTGGCGTTTCATATAATAAGTTATTCAAGCAGTTTGCTGATATAAATAGCGTCTCAACTACTACTCTGATATTGAGGAAAGCCCTCGTTGATATTGGATATAGCAGATATAGAGTAGTTGACATACTTCTACACACTATTCCTTACTTTCATTCAGAATTTCATATAAATATTAATACATTGCATAGTTTGTTTATAAAATAACACAACCGATATAATATTTAGAAGTTTCTTGAACCTGGCGTAAGGTTCTATATGTTTAATCACTATGATATGAGCTGTATTGGTTTGGAGGACTTACGTACGCAGAGCAACACGTGTGTGACAAAGATGTGGCATCCCAGACTGGTGTTTTTCTTTCGTCCTTGAGCTTTCTAGCGTCCTAGTACAAGTACATAGTCTACAAGCTCGTTCATTGCACACGCGTCTTTACAATTTGTCTAAAGTGTACGAAAATAAGCCTATCGAATTAACTGGTAAGTTATTCACTACCTTATTCTGGTTAGTACTTTCGTATAAATATATAACTTGTTATAACAAGCAGTTACCAGTTTTAAACTTTTAGATCTTGAACTTGTTACAAGAACACCAGAATAATCTTGTCGCAAATCGCATGTCGCGACCGCGTCATGGCGCGTTTCTCCACGTTAACACG